TTTCTGTAAACACCTCTGTATTAAGCCATAGCAAGCTCTAGAGCAGGAAATTCAGCATCTCCAGTGACTTGACTTCACCTCACCTCTCCTTTACAAAAGAAAACAATAAAAAAACCAAAACAAATTTAAAAGAAAAGGAAAAAACACAAACAGACAAACAGGGAAGCATTCAGTTACCTAAGCAGACACCTAAAATAAGCCTCTGAAAATTTAACATTTGAAAAGCAATTATTTTAGTGGTTAAAGTGTGCAAATGATTAAACGTGCCGCCTGCTTCAGAGATAGCTGAATACTGTAGTCATCAATGATTATTATTCATGTCTAGCACTGGCAGTTCTGTTGCTTTTGTTGCTGGCTTTGGACATTATACATTACCACTTCCTCCACATATTTCATGGTGCTTTTTTTTTTTTTTTGCCAACAGAGACCAGCAGCATGACTTTAGAGAGGTATCAGAAAGATGGGAACTTTCCTTTTTAAAGGTTTCCTCTCCATCTCAAGTCTGGCAAAAGTGAATGTTACGTCGAATAAAAATAATGTTTCAAGCAGGAACACCAAATATTTCAAGTTTTGTCTGTCTATAAAAATCACCTCAAAAAGATTCAGAATCTCATGTTTCTATGAAACAAATACAATAAATTAGAGGGGAAAAAAACCATGCAAGGGAAGTGCAACTATTATATTGATGAGAAATACAAAAGCTTAGAAACAGAAAAACACCAGGTTCAGCCCAAGACTGAAAAAATCCACAGATTTTTCAAAACCAGAGTCCGCACAGCATCACACAGCCCTGCCTTGCCATGTTTGTTAATATCCTCGCTTAGAAGTCAGACAGCATTTTGTTTAACTTGTGTTGCTCTGTATCATTACACTAAACCATAATTAACTCCTCTTTTGTGCCGGCCTCATTCCAACACAATTGTACCCACTGTATACCAGCAGCAGTTCTCAGGTTTTGTTTTGCAGCTCAGCTGCATTTTTCTTGGATGTTCACAAGACTGGCATTTGACTGGATGCGCTTGGCTAGAAAGGGAAAAATTATAAGAAAATTAAACACAAAGAATTCCACAAAACTAGTCTCTCCACTCCCTCTATTTATCTGACACAGACTTGCAAACAGCTTTCTGTTCACGTCCAAAAACTTTAATGAAAAGATATGGCTGAAGCTCTTTACTACCCTTCTTCAGGGGACAGCAGCAGACTAATAGTCGCTATTAGCGCCCATCAGCACAGCTGCAGGCAGATCTGGCTGGGCCCCCTCTCCCGCAAGAGCCAAGCAAGTCCCTGGCACCACCCAACTCTAACAGTGAAATGCCAGCACCATCACTTACGCAAAATGAGTATCCGTTTCTTCTGCTTCGAGTGAAGGAAGCTACTAAGATAAAAAACAATAGGTAGGAAGAGAATAAAGGATGAAACTGCAATCACGGGGACTGTATCACTGCAGGGAACAGAACAGTTGAAAGTCCTGCTCCAGAGCTTCCGAGTGATGTTCATCTAAAAGGAAAACATAAGCAAGCCGTGAAAGCGAGCACATGCATTTTTGCCGTGTAGCATGGCAAACACTCAGGCCTCAAGACATTCAAGTGTTCAAATATGACCTCAGAAAATAACGCTTTAGCAGACGCCTACCCCAGAAGCAAGCAATCCCCAGAAAGGTAGAAACAGACAATTTAAACGGACCCAGAATTTCACATCAAAACTTTCAAAAGCTTCAAAACCAGACTATACTCAGATATACTGTCACGCTGCCACATGCCTGTTGCCCAGAGAGCTCAGTGACAGCCTGCGGGGACAGGGCTAATCCCATACTTTCGACAGCGCTCCTTTTGCCCAACCGCGTAAAACCCCATAATGTAACAAAGCTTTTTCCAAACATATGTCACCAATGCTGAGGACCCCTAGAAACAGCTGCTGTAATGAGGAATCAATTATTACTGAGGCTAGAACAATAGCAGTAAAGCTTCGCATTAAAAGCCAGAAGATTAAGATGATTTTTTTTTTTTTTAAATCCAACCCCTTCGCAGTAACAAGAAATTAAAGTGCGGCTACTTAAACTGGAACGCATTTGGGTGATCAGGAGCTTCAGCCATGCTCCTGCTGCACTGGCTGAGGACAAGACCTAGCAAGGCAACCCCACTGGGCTAATTTCTTTCTCACAGGACATCAGCCTGACAAAGGCACTGCTGCCAGTACTGTCCCACACCGAAAGGGAAAAGGCAATCCCTAGCAGGACAAGCGCAAAGATGTCAGATTAATAAAGACCTCCATGACAAGGTATCCCCTGTTGAGTATTAATAAACACTTACTGCATCTTCCACGTCGATACACAAGTGTGCAGAGTGCCCAGACTCACCACCTTGCCTGTTCATCCTTTGCAAGTTGTTATACAGGTCATTCAACATTTTGTAGCTTTCATTGCAGTTTTTACATACTTCTGTGTAGTTATTTGGTGACAGATAGAAGGTTTGTCCCTAGGGTTATAAAACTCTGTATGAATGCTGGTTTAAGCCATTATGAAAAAAAAAAATCAAAAACTAGAGAGTCAAGTTTGAACCAAAATCCAGATATTTAGCATCCTAGATTGAGTAGAGGCCCAGACTGACAACTCACATGAGAATGCAGGAGGAAAAGGGACCAACTCTAATTCACTAGGGACAGGATCCATTTCCTGCAGGTTCTGCATCTCAAACTGTCCTTTGAACTAGCAGCTTTTTTACTTAAAGTATCAGTTCCGGGGGGGGGGGGGGGGGGGGGGGGAGACAGAGAAGAAAAAAGGAG